GTCCCATGGAGTCTTTGGGTCGGCCGACCCGTCGCATTCTCAGTCTCGGACGTTGGTCTCTGGGTTCCTCATCGCGCCTGGTGGAGACGAAGCAGATCGAGGTGTCTGACGGTTTCTCCGGTTGGTCCGGTTGGTCTAAGGGTGGGACGCCGGGAGGGGGTGCCAGGAGGGTCCAAATCGACACGGCCTGTCTGGGACTGCCAGGACGGACTGCCGAGAAACGATCAGTTGGGGTGGTGGTCTTGGGGGGTCAATTGATCGGCAGTCCGGACTGGCAGTCCCATGCGTCGTGTCTGGGAATACTAGGGAACCGGCTTCAATCGCTGGAAGAAGCGAACAACGGAAGACGGACCGATCAAGGACCGACCTCGGACGCAGGTGAACGGATGAGGACCGGTGGAGCGGAAGATGAGTTTGACGGACCAGGGCCGTTCCAGTGTGGCCAAAACAACCATGCATGCGATCAGTTTGGATGCATGACAACAACGTTTACATATATCGTTGCATGACAACAAGGCCGTAGAACCTCCGCAAAAAGGAACACGCGGTACTCTCCACAAAATCTCGTCTTTCCAGAGCGGCACTCTACGGTCCAAGCTGCATATATAACACACACACACACATGGTTACCGGGAAAAATCCACCCAGAAGGAAAAGAGTCGGGGCACCAACTCCGCAATACCCACCAGTTGCTCGCCTCCACTCCGCCCAACGCGCGCGCGCGAATCGAACGGCGGCCGGCGCCACCCATCGCTTTCGCCGGTGTCCGGCGCCTACGTGTTGCATGAGCTCCAAGCGTGCGCGCAGGACTCGGAGACAGACGCCGTCGGTCACGTCCCGGCGTCGAGGTTATGGGTGTGAGGGGTTGCTGTGATGCGCGGCAGGTTGACGTGAAAAAGGATCCAAAGATCCAAACACTGAAATGGATGGAAGTGGAACGCCTGCATGACACGACCTATACTCGGGACTGGAATCTTTGGACCAGACATGAACACACATTGGGGTCGGATCACCTGGGGTCTAGGCATATCTTCAATACATGTAGTGCCATGGGATAGCCTACTGTGGGGGGTAGGGGTATAGACTAGATGCTTCTCCTTTTCGGATCCGAGACCTTGCTCGGGACACCAAGCAGGGCGCGGGCTCGCCGCCATGGCGGGATCACTTGAAGATCGGATATCCGCGTGTGACACTCCGGGATCCAGTCGTACCTTACCGAACCTCAGGTTCGGTACGACTGAACCATCCAAACCCACCTACATCATAAGGGTGTCTCCTTCTTCACCGTACCTGAGAAGGTACGACTGGATCCCTTTGGGACTGGTCACAGGAGAAGACGGACTTGTAGCTCTTTCTTCAGGTGACGATGAAACTGACCTCCCAGTAAGACGAAGAAGTCATGCGATCTCAAGTAGTACACAGGCCCCCCCAGCAAACAATTCAGGGTTTGATGTCACTCTTAACCGCTCTAACTGCTCTTGACGTGATCCCTGGTGCACACCTATAGCCAGTCTTTTCAGATTTGAACTCCTGCATTGTGGAGATGGTGGAGGCTCAAAATGAGTCTCCTGTTGGAGATGTTGAGGTGAAGAGCGTCAACCCCACCAACACCATCTCAGATTGCACATTCTACATTTTGTATGTAGACCAACTGTCTGCAAATGTCTGCAAGTAGGCCACATCCAGCAGGTGATATGTGCTACCCAGGCGATTGTCGCCTGGCGACCCAAACTGAGCGTCCGTCCAAAGCTTCCACCTCTCTTGCTCAACCCCTCCTGTCGGGGTGTCTATGTAAATAGCCCCCCAAAGCTGTGAGATTCGGGGTGTCCATGTCTACCACTGCGACTGGGGGTCCTGGTATACGTCTACAATTAGCGGCTGATGATTCTTAGATCTCTTCGCAGCCTGTCCCTTTCACCTCCACCGAGCACCCCGGACTATCGCGCCGCCGATCCGGCACTCCCAGCATCCACGCGGAGAAGCGCCTGGCCGTTCCACCGAAACAGACGAAACGCGTTCGTTCGCCACGTGCGACATGATGAAGCGCATATATGTGTGTCGCATGTGTTTGCATGGGATTTGTTTTAAACAAATGATCATCACAAAGCATCTATTGTCAAAGCCGTCCATTCCTACTTTTTCCAAGGCTGCTTTTCTCTAAAGGGACGACTACGACGACTCCCAAACACTCTCTCCCTGTATGGCATGCCTTCATTCATCCGTCAGGTATATACAAAACTCCAAGCGGACAATGGCCCAAAAGACCATTCTCCTCTACAAACAGGTGGCTCCACGTCCATTTAGTTGTTGCATGTTGTTGCAAAGAGGGTAGAACCTGGTCGAACGCCTGGTAGCACCTGGGGTTTTAGGAACAAGGTGCTACGAACCTAGCAAGAAGCTACGAAGGTAGCTCCTGGACTAGGAACAAGAAGCTACGAACGTCATTAACAAGGGCATGGGCCGCACGGGTCGCTTCACTTCCCCTTGGGCGCCCAAGCGTGAACCGCCGGCGACAGCACCAGATCAGGCGCAAGGTTCGAGCGAACCTCAGTGACTTGCGGGGATGGATGCGCTCTGACGGCTGGATGTTCTTTTTCTGTCCGGTCCACCTGTCTCGCCAAAGGCTGTTCATGATTGATGATGGTATACTTCGTAGAACCTCTGGGTTACATAGGACTATAGATATAGCTTTGGCGTTTGGTGGTATGTCCCCACTCGATTCAGACCATGTCGCTGCTCCGGACCGGGACGGGACGAAAGGCCGCGGACCGGCGACCCCGTTCTCTCTGAGCGTCCCGGCAAGCCGGTGGAGTTGGGGCTCAAGGCCCACACCAGGGAGCGAAAACACAGGTCCGAGTGATCCTGCCAAACATGATGGACGGCGGAAGGAAGGAAGGATTGGCCGGAGGGATGCGGAACTGTGTGATATTTTGTGGTCTTCTCTTTTTGCACCACCGGCAGGAGAGGATGTATGGGAACAAGGGGTATTTGGGGGGGAAGGTCATGGTCTTCGAGCTGTTGGGATCATCTTCGTCTGGATCACCGTCTTTGAAAAACTGTGGCAAACAATTGATGTCAGAGTTCTAGAACCCGAAGCTTATATAGACCTAGAACCTGGGTGACCTCTACTTTGGATACTTTTGGATCACCAACCCCCCAAAACGTGGTCTGACTTCCAATCAGAACAGCAGGTTATAAATGGGTTCTATATAGAGACCTCAAACCATCACTGACTGAACCTGGAACAGGTGTTCCAACACGGCAACCTTACAAAAATCAGCAGAAATTTACTGTTTTCACGGATTCGTTTGCCGGTCCCTTACTAAACATATCCAAAGAACTGAACAGGAACCATATATAAAATGCTGCTCACCTCCCTGTTCATAGTTTCCAACAAAAAAACACCCACCATGCCACATGTAAAGAGCACCAACCGCACCAGGTTTACACATCTACATGTTTCAGCAAACATCTGGATCCTTTGACCCGTTTGACCTTCGTTTCCTCCACCAACTCCTCATCCCATGGGACGCGCGGGACCCGCGTCGATCCCAAAAACCAACTCCCCTTCGATCCGCCGGTGTCTCCACGCCAAGTCTCCCGCCCCACCCGAACCGCACCGGTCTCGCACGGACACCAAAACCGACCCGCCCAGGTCGGTCCAAGTGTTCCAGGAAGACGGTCCGGAGCTTCTCGTTCTCCTCGGAGGGCCCCGTGTTAGGCAGCAGCCGTGTTAGGCAGCTCGGGTGTCTTTCGTTCGCCTCATGGATGCGCTTTTTGAGGCGGATCGATGCCTGTCATCGTGATAACGAACATACCCTCACCTTGGACACATGCATCAAAGCCTTCTGTTTGGTTTTTTTCCTCGCTCCGAATATGGAGCTGGAGAGGTGACCATGAGCCAAACAGGACTTTCCAACTTTCACCACTCTTTTTGCACGTCTGCTGGGCTCGCGATGTGGAATTCGGCTCACAATCGATGCGAACGCATGGAACGGCTCCCACGCTGCGCCCTTCCCTGGCTCTCCTTGGCGAGGGTGGCCAATTTGGCCTGCATGAGCCATGTCGGCGGCGAAGCGACGTCGTGGCAAACAACACACACGGTTACAGTAAACATGAAAACACATCAATTGACATCACACGTTGTGGTTAAGCAGGACTAGTGAACATTGACCCCTGGTATCATTGTGCTTGTGGAATCATGTGGATGTCCCAATCAAACAAGAAGAAAACTATCTTTGGCTTGTGTTACAGTGCTTCATTTCAAAGCAAGACTCTACGACTGTGCCGCTATGCCCACTCAAATAGAAGTATATAGATAGATTTCACGGTATAGAACAAGACTATCCATAAGAGGTTTACTGAACAACTTCAGAAGAAGATCCGCAACCGTGGATGATGATGGTTCAGTTGAAGGCCTTGTTCAAACATAGTGATGTTCTTGTGTTCTGACTCAGACTATTACAAAATCAAATGGAAAAAAAACAAACGAACCCATGATGAACCCATGATGAACCCATGGTGTACATGGCCAGGACCGCCAGACCGATGCCAGGAGCCCTGCCGGAATGGCCCACGGCCTGCATCTCGCACACGGTGGCGTAGACCTCTCGTTGCACCACCTGCCGACGGATCCCTCGACGGGAGCCAACAGGTCCACGGTGGCAGCTAAGAAAACGCCAAGGTGATTTACTGTATTAGTTGATATTCTATTTTATAGATACTTATGTAATTCTTGATCGATTTCATCAGTGGAAGCAGCACAGAACAGGTCTAGTCAGGTCATATCAGGTCTATGGCCTTTTTGGGGGGCTTTTTCTGCTTAACACTCCCTCCAAGACCTGGGAAAACAAATTTCCTGTGCATGGCCCTGGCAATTAACCTGATGCGGGTCACGGTAGTGTTGCACCATTGGCCGATGGACCATCAACTGGTCGCACAAGCCGAGAATGATCTGAGGAGAATGGTCATAGGGAATCGTACCCAAGGTGTATCCCCGTCTTGGTGGGGATGGGAAGATGCTCCCCTGCAGTTGTAGTAAGAAAGCACCAATTCTGCCCATGATATTCTTGGATCACCTTTCTTCCTTCATACTTTGGCCGCCAAATGATGCCAAATGCAGTGTATCTTGATATAGTGACGAAGGAACCCAGGAATCTAAATCAACCCGATCATTGTCAGAGCTGTAACAAAAATCATCCAGGAACTCGTAAGGGGATCGGAAATCATTTTGGGCTGCATCAGTCACATTGTCTGTACGCGCAAAGACTTGGTTGAACTATACAAAGCCTGCTTTGGGGCTCTTCGCAACATGATCAGCAACAACGTTTCCAAGGATATGAGGCAAACTCTGGCTATCCTTGGCATCTTCAGAATCCGCAACTTCATCTTGTGAAAAACGGGCTCTACTGCTGGCTCTATGCTCGCGGGTCTGGGAGAGAAGATCAGGATGTGCTCGGTGTGATCAAGTTTCAATCTATTAATTCCCTCCTTGCAGCCTGCTGATTCAGTGAAGCCTTGATGTGGTCCGTCAGGGAAATTCATCGCCAAGTGAACTACCAAACAAGTCACCGCTTCGATTTCAGCACGATGGATGGTCGATTCGATTTCAGCCTGTTTGTGCGGCCACGAAGCCGTTCCATGATACTGCGCTTGATTGTGGGCGTGCACATTGTATGATGGCCAAAGCAGCCCTTTGAAGGCAGGGGAAATTGCTGGCGTATTACATGATCCATCAGAACAACAACTCATCTGAGTCGAAGACTTGTGGTTGGTCATTGGTCGTACGACTGCATTGTTTTATGATCAGGCAACAGATTTAGTATCATGTATCTGATCTGGCGGTGCACGGTATCGGGAAGTAAAGCAGGTTGGCATTTTGCTGTAAGAAAGTGACTGCTTTTGGATGTCTCTGACAAACCTCTGCTGCAACGCGAAGGTGTCTCAATTTCTCATGCCAAAAAACTCGTTCAGGCCAATCCCTTTCAGGTCCTCTAAAGACCTGTCGATCTTTGTCGTCTTGGACTACCAGGCATGGAGAAAGGTCTGTCGACGTCACCGAAGAAAAAGCTTAGTACCCAGGAGCCGGACCTTGGACCCTCCGTTCAGTAGGGGCCGGTGCTTCTCACCAATCCCGGAGCGGGTTTGGTTCGGGACCAGTCGAGCTGTGAACCCACGGAGCGTCTGGGAACATGAAGTAAAACACGAAAAGAACGACATCCGAATCATTGGACAATGCTGCATGAAAGTATCTTGAAGTGTCGAAAAATCGACTGCGCCAAATGTGGTGATGCTCTTGTTGTCGTCGTTCCTCGAATGGCCAGACTGACGCATGTCGGACTGACGCATCGACAAATGTGTTCTTTTTCCTCCTACTGTAGCGGGAAGGTTTCAACACAGAAAAAACACGTTGGGCCAGACTGACATCTGAATTTTGATGGTATTCCGGTGTATCTGGGATTTGGCGTTGGCATGCCGTTTTTCTTCGACCAAAACATCGCCAGCACATCGGCGGGTCTTCTTGGGCCAACATCGCCTGCTGAAGTGAGTTTTCTGGCAAAATCCAACCAATTCAATGTTCGCTGGAACGAGAGTTTTCTGGTCGAATTGTTGTTGGATTTTGCGAATGGCCATCTTCTGCAGTTTATTAGATCATCTACTTCCTGGGAGACCATAGTGCTAGATGAAGCTGGCGTCGAGGAGGATGTTGTGGAATGCCTGTCCATCTGATCATACCATTTCTGCCAAGGATCAGGTTCTGGCCACAACGCATGAGAACGAACATCATGAGAGCGAAAGACTCTCTCTGGCGAACGACTCTCCGCCAAAGTTTTTCAGATTTATGCTTTGCCCATTTGCGTCAACTTGTCTTGGAGCAGAAATTACATGCCTGTGAAAATGGAAGGTCTCTGCAAAAGGTTTGGATGTCACCACGAGAAGCCATGCACTATAGTGTAAAGCTTTCAAAGGCGTGCCCCTGGATGCCATTGGTGTCCATCCAAGGGACAGCTTCCTACTTTAAACCTATGGTTGGCGTGTGTTTTGTTTGTCAAAAGAGATTTGATCAGCATCTTGGTCTAGAAATGTTGACGTCCAATTGCGGGAAGGATGGATAGAGACAAACAAACAAAGCTGACAAAGACGGAAAGAAACAGATTCACAGGGAGAACCAAAGAGAGTGCCCTGAGAGGTGCATGATGCACACCGGGCTGCACACCTGTCGATGGAGTTCACAAGGGACAATTGTGATCCACAAACGGAGACTGACAAAACAGGCCGGCAAATTGACAAAAGGTCTATAATTGATACATGACATAATATAGCATTCCAAGCGCATGGCGCCCAAAAAAAGCTTCGTGAGGACGCGCAAATACACGTTGGTCGGAATGCACGGGCCGCTCTTCCTGAAAGGTTTGGAGCAAATCTCATCATTTAGATCCACAGGACTCAACTGAAGGATTCATGATTTAATGTATGCTCTGTCATCAATGATCAAAATTAAACTCTCTGCTCCCACCGAAGTTAACAACTCTCCCCACCTGCCCGTCACACACCGCTCCTTTGCTCTCCCGCCACACACCTGCCGTACTCGGCCCTGTACGCGCTCTTCGACCAACACGCGGACCTGCACGGACCGCGCTTTCGGCCCGCAAGAGCGATGGCGTCCGACGGAAGGGGTTTCAAGCTTTTGAACGTCTTGAGTCAATATGCTGTGCCATCCATGCAGCTCATGGCGCGTCTTCAAACGGCTATGTTCCAGCAAACATAAGAGCTATATATTCTTTTCAGAGATGTAGGCCCGCGACGGACGACGCATCGCGGCGGCTTTCGCCATTCGCTATATATACGCTATGACCACCGAATTGGTGCCAGGTATTCCCCAGCTGCGCAGCGAACTGGATGCTTTAGATGCAGTTTATATAGACCTGGAACCCAGTTGACCTCTGTTTTGATCGGAAAAGACCATATTTTGCGTGGTTTGTGGTTTAAAATAGAGGTCATTCAGGTTTGTGTGTAGTGGATGGGTTGCGTGGGGGATCATCTCTAGAAACTAACTGCTACTCCACCTGCTATTCCACCTGCTCACCTCTTTTCCTCGTCTCGGAGATGGAGAGACTCGTCGAAAGGAAGCCGGTCGCACAGAACATTCGTCGGTGGTCGACCATCGCTCGAAGGAGAGAACCTGTGAGGACCACGGGTGATGGTTTCGGAGCAATGCTAGGCCCTAGGGATCCAACTACCTTCTCAGAAGGTACTTGGACCCTCCAAATCTACATAACAGTGCCTCCAATCACCTTCTGAGAAGGTACTTGGATCCCTAGGGAGGAGTAAAACCGTGGGCAATCCGGATCAGAGCTCGTGAAGGAGAAATCCCTTGCAGGTGACCAGATGGTTTTGCTGGACAAGGTGGACAAGTGCAATGTGCTGGTAGCACCTAGTAGGACCTAAACCTCTCAGTTTTTCAGAACATCTTGCGTATATAGACGATGTAAGGGTCCAATCAAAACATGAAACCAAAACTGTTTGGACTCTCTTGTGCGACAGCTCCGCATCACATGCCACCAGCGGACCAGGGTTCGTGTCGACCGGCGTCGACCGGTGTTGGAGGTCCGCCTCTCCTGTCGAAGTGTTCACGTCCCGGCCCCTTGCAAGACAATGTTCCTCTAGCAAGAGGCTCCTTCCACCTTCCATGATTGCAGGGAAGATATTAATATGCATTTACCTTCGGATTTGGCCTCTTTCGCTCGCTCCATGCCTTCTCCATCTCTGCCGCGAGGATGGCGTCGAGCTGTTGCTTCACGCGCTCCTGGCGGCCAACAAAAACGGTTGTATCGATTCAGGGGGAATTCCTGCAGCGAATCGGTATTCATGTGATCCACCTTGACTCCTTTTTCTATTCAGTCAACGTTGTCTTGCGGGGATTGCTTCATATCCTGTGGGATTCTTCGTCTTCACCGGCCACCATCCGTCGCCTCCACCTCCCCACAGAACGGACAGTTCGGCGCTTGGCACCGAACACATGTTTTACTGCTGGAGCAGGTCGGGACAAATGCTGACGGAACAGGTGTTCGAACAAAACCAGGGCCCAAGGAGCTGCTTGGACGATTTTGATGTGGATTGGACGATTTTTGGATGCGTTTTTTGGTTCCGTACTTTGGACAAGGGTTTGGTTCGCTTCCTTACTTTGAGATGGGTCCACAGCAAAGCCCACATAGAATTAGAACAATGGCGCAAGCAATCCTTTGACCTCTTGCTCTGGACAAGTAGGCCGGAGTTGACTGATCATGCCGTACGTACTGTGGGCGCCGCCCAGCTCGCCCTCATGACTGCTTTGTTGAAAGCGCGCCTGTATGTCCAATTGCCAAAAAGGTAAGCAGCCCAAGAAAAATATTCTCCGTCATGTGGATGTCATGGATACAACGAAAGTTTTTCAATGCAACGATTTGTCCAGGGTTCTAGCTGGCTGCGATGTCTGCTTGATTTATGGAGCTCGAAACAAAAACCTTAAGGAAAACAAACTGAGGCATTTCCCTACCAAATCGTCCCGCGCAACTGTTCCCAAGTCTTTCCGTCCTCAACGATGGCATGCACTCGAACTGCTTGTTGTTCCATTCTTCGATCCACCTGCCGTGTCGGGTACATCACATCCGTGTCGGACCGTCGATTCAAAACGTCGAGAGAAAACGACTCGAAACGACGCCAGGTGTTTTCGAGTCAAAGCACCACGCCCAAAGACCCGAAAAGGACACCCGAAAAGCAGCAACTCACGCGGTAATGACCTCTCTCTTCTCTCCCAAAAATGAAGCCAACAAAAAACAGTGAAACATCATCTGAAGTACGCAGCACTCTTTGTCCTGACCATCGTTGTTCATGGGAAACACACATTAAAAACAACTCCCAATTGCCAATACATACCAGGGCCTTCAAGGGGTGGTTCATGGACACCCCGAATCACGGCTAAGGGGCTATACATAAACACCCCTTGGAGGGTCCTGGTATAGCCTTCTATATGATTGAGTGTAACCCCCTCACTATGCATCTGTTGCTTGGTTAAAAGCTTCATGCAGCCAAATGTGGTCTCACCGGTAGCCTTCCGGAAATCCTCAGTCACAAAAGGCTTCTCCGCTCCAACCTGCGTGCCACGTGCGCCACGCCGTCAGGCCTCGACGTGAAAGTCGCGAATCCGGTTCTCCATGTCCTGCCGTGCGTCCGCCATCTCTGCCTGCGTCTCGGTCGCGGTGGGTCTCACTCTGTGGCGGGAACAAAGGTTTGTGCATAGCAGGAGGGTGGAACACATGTGGCAGGTTTAATTAAGCACACATTGATTACAGTTTCTTGTATGTCAAATGGTGTGAGTATATTATGCATGTATGTATGTATACCTGGAACCGGCTTGTCCCTTGTTTTGCTCAAAAGATCTTGAAATCGATATATTGAAGATGCTTATGTTGAAATACGCCCCTTTCGTAAAAATACGTCCTTCTCCAACATTGTTGATTTTCATGTATGTTACATTCTGAACAAACCAACCACTGTGAAGATACTCACACCACCTGAACAGCTCTATAAAGTTCAACCCCTCCATCCTCCCAGCACAGTCTGCAGCCATTTCTTCCAGAGAGACGACGTCGATCGGCTGGGGCTCCAAGCAGTGGACCAGGGAAGGGGGTATCAAACTCAAAATCATCGGTGAGGTCAGTTGGAACATGTTGGAACTATTGAGGACATTTGAGAACACTGTAACAGAACAAACCTTTGAAAGGCACAATGGGTTCACAGGTCTGAATACCCATCCATTCCCCGGGAATCCACATCAGAGTTCTCCAAACTCTCGTGGTACATAATTAGGACTCTCATCAGCAAGCTCTTATGAACGCTTCTTATGTTGACTCTTCTGCTGATGCGTGATGGCCGGCCGATGAAATCCTCTTGTATCTGATTTCCTTGGGACATGGGGTTCATGACCCATCCAGCACCGGTGCTGGCCTGGTTTTGCAAATTCATGGCGCTATGGGCCATCATATGCAACTTGGGAATGATGGAAAAACGACGTTTCCTTTGGACCAGAGTGACCCGGGCACAAGTTGCATAGAGGGCCAGGAATGAAAAGATCAACCTTGACAACCTCAAGCCTTTGTCAGCCCGGATCCAAAATCCAGACTGGTACATCACTGCAATAGCGATGTTCAGAGCTCGCGCTCCCTCAGCCTTAGGCGCGCAGCAAGAAATCAGAGCACTCCAAAATGCTGGGTTGTAGCATGACTCTTTGGAAGTCTATGGGGGAAACATAAAGACACAGCCAAAGCTACTAACACAGTGCCATACTGAACAAGAAACAATTGCAGTCAAGAGAGGGTCAACTGTCTTCCCAACGATAAAGTTGCGACCAAAGAAATCCAAGAACATCATCATTTCCGTGGATACCTGACCCTTGCTCCATTTCCCAATTGGGTTTGCTGTGCCTGCCGGGAAGTTCATCGTGTCACGACTGATCTCTGCAATGAACGGGGTCTTGTTCATTGACCGGAAGTACCCCTTGTAGCAGTCTGTCAACCACTGAAATTTCACCTCCATACTTCCGTTGGGAACACTGCTGAGACCTGACTCCAGGACTGCAACGAAAGAACATGCTGTGAAGTGCTTGCACACGCCTAAGTGGCAGTTGTGCCAAAAGTCTGTGGAAAAAAACTGAGTCTTCTCGAAGGGTGTAGTCAGTGGCAAGCCAGTGAGAATGGCCGGTTCACTATCCCAAGGCAGATCTACACCAATGGTTGTGGTCCACTGGCCGGAAGCTGACAAGTCTTCAAAGGGCACTGCTGCCACACCACGTGATGGATCAGCTTCACGTCCACCCAGGCATAGGTGACAAATGCCCTGGCAGCTTTTCTTGCTCGATGGCCCACGAGGAACATTGGAAAAGCTTCTCTTCAGTCCGCCAAGTTTCACCAGGGCTGGGAGATCACCTTTGGTGTTGAGGTGCACTAGCCTGACATGTGTTTGACCATCCTTTGAACGGAGACCGGTTTCCAGAAGCGTTTGAACATCCGAGGCATATTCAGCAACAAGCTTGGGAATTGCATTTGGACACACCACCGAAACGGTCTTGGTGACTGCCGCGAATACAAAATTTGTGCTCCAGGTCTTTCCTATGTAGTTCATGCCCATGCCGTTTCTTCTCAACGGCGCTCTATGCTTTCCGGCTGACAAGTAAGACCGAGTGCCCCTGCCAAGCGCACCATGTGAAGACAGAATCCAAATCGGCATGTGCTTATAGGATCTGCCCTCATCGGTGTGCGAGAAAAATGGAACGCAATCCTGGAGTTGAACCCTCCCATCAGCTTCCCAATCAAAAATGAAATGATCAGGGTGAATGTCCTTGTATCGCCTCCAGAACTCTGTCATCACACTCCTCATTTTCTCTATGGTGGGGACACCTGCCATTTGCCGGGCAAACCGGCCACTATCCAACAAAAGCTGCATCCAAGAGCTCAACCTGATGAACGGAAACTGTTTCAAGCTCCTCACCTCTCCTATGTCGAGGCCCTCAATAGGAATGGGTGCAGTCATCTTGGCCCTTTGCAAGACTTTGTGGACTCCAACTTCGGCGTCATCTAACCTCACACTTGCAAAGTCCCTCATATGCCTGCCAGCAACCGGATTCACTTCCACCTCCGCTCTGGCAAGTTCAACGAGGTGCTTGCAAGGAGCCTCGGAGAAGCAAACATGTTGAAACAAATTGGACACACTGCTGGGTGACAGGGAGGGTATGAAGGAAAAGCGCATCAATACTCACAGGGTGTGCAAAAACAGTTCATCTCAAACATCATACTCTGTATCCATGTCAGGCGTGCAGAGCTGGGCAACAATTTTTCACAGTTTGTGCGAGGATGTATTCATCCAACACGCCGTGGCTGGTCAGCCCTGCCACCAGTCACATACACATAGTATGGTGGATTAATTGTCGCCTTTCTATTCAAAGCACCCTCACCCCCAGTACCTTCACGATTTCTACACCCTACATGCTTGCAGAACTCTGATATCAGAGCAGCTTCCAACATATGTATCAAATCGACACTATCCGAAGTAGCTAACAACCACATGGATGTGAACCCCTGATCCGAATACAGTTGGAACCTGCTCACTGGGTCTGCAGTGACACCAATTTTGAAAACACACAGACGGATCCCTTGGTGTTCGCGGAAAGCTGTGACCTTCTCTTTACAGTGGGCCAGTAGCCTTCCACAGGTAGGGACTTTTGCCCCTTTGGCCATTGAGTGGTCCACCACAGCTTCATTTCTGGTTCTGCAACGCACAAGTGGACGTGCAAGCGGTCTTGGAACAGTCTCCTTAGAATTGCATGGGTTGGAGAACGAAGGGGTGGACATTGACGCCATTAGTATAACCAAGCATGAAAACAGTGCTTTCAAATTCTAGTGGGATCAACAATTTTTCCATCACTTCCACACGCTGAGTTGCGGGTGCGATGGACGTGGCCTTGTCTCCCGACGGTGGAGGCGAGCTGGAGCGATCGGATGAGTACTCGGGTGTTCTATTGAAGTAGGCCATGTCTACTACATCCACCTCAAAGTTGGAAGTCTCAGCAACTGCATGGGTTTCCCTTGAAGGGCTCTTTTTCAAGAACCTTGGCCATGGTAGCCAAATAAAAAATAAACAGTTGCTAGTTGTATGGGTTCAAAAGCACACCAGTACCAAACAAAGTCTAGCGAAAGTACCAGCAAGTTGCTTAGCATGTTGGGTTTCTTGGGGAAGATCTTGGCCAGCCACACGTTTCTTCCCAGTCAGCGGGCAGCTGTAGGAAAGGAGCTCCAGCAGAAAGTCACTCTCTTCATCAGCCATTGCATGTGGTGAAATTGTCCCAGCAGTATGCCAGTTGTACATGCACTTCTTGGATTTTGTAAGTTTGGGCTGCATATGAATTGGAGTCATGACCATGTCACCTCACTGTTCTCATGCCCCCCCAATGACATGTCAACTGAAAAACACCACAGCTGCATACAGCTGCGATGCGCAGGGGTTGCCAATCAAACTTTTGCCACAGGCCCGACGGTGCTGGGGTTCCCCGGCGCCATTGGCGATGAGGCGGGCGCAATGCCGAAGGACGATGTCCGGATTGCCACCTGGCACACAGTGACAATCAATGAAATTGGGCACTGAGTGCGAGATCGAACCCATCAAGCCCAACGTTGATTTTCGTCCCCATCGCTAGCCTCTTCGAACTAGTCAGATCAAACATGGCTTCAGTGACTCTTCACGTGTTTAATTTGTAATCCAACACATGTTCACGAGTCACAAGTACCCCATAGGCAAAAATGGTCCCTGGCACATATGGAGCCCTAAGGACCTTGGACCCTGACAGGGCAAAATGCACTGGTCGAGGCATCAGAACTCATTCTTGAGGTGTCCTCTTCAGGATCTTCAACAGATTCCTGGGCAAGTCCAAGGGAACATCCAAAGTCACCCTTCAAATTAAAACTTATGGACTTTTGGACATCCTTCAATTTTGAAGAAACAAGGCCCAACTGACATCTCATGTTTCCTGGATAGCCTCCTCATCAGATAGAAAACAGCAATTACATTACGATCGAGATATAGTATATAAAACATTCTTACTCCTTGCTGACACTTTGTTCTATAGATGAGCAGCTTTGCGGCAGATTCTGCAGTGGTCACCTTGCTGCACCTCGGCCCGCGGCTTGACCCCAACTTGCCTGTGAACACAGGCGGTGGTGGAATCACTGTGCATATTGACGACGAGGCACGCTGCAGTGGTCACGCGGATTTGGGCATCGATCTTCTTCCGGAGCCTCATGGATTGGCACGTGTGTGTGTGAGATGAGATGGGAAAGCCTAGCTATATTTGTTGTGCGCTATGAACAGTTCAATTTGACGAACTGCATGGGTTGATATACAGGTTCACTGGATATGAAGGTCATATCAACTTCTCAAGCCAGGAAACTCTTTCACGGTCGCAGGCTCTAAGTCCTTCTCGGTGTGCAACTCGGAAACATCCAGCTTCACCAGCTCGCACTTCTCATACTGCTGCTCCAGGGTCTCAACGGCAGCTTCCAAGTTCTGCACGCACCTGAGCCGGCCGAGCTGGGTGGGATGTTTTTTTTGGGAACAAAGGATCAACAGCGGGGGTTGAAACATGTTGCAGAAAGCACTACACATAGTGAAGCTTGGTACCCAACTTGTTGACCC